GTGTGTGTGTGTGTGTGTGTGTGTGTGTGTGTGTGTGTGTGTGCGTGTGTGCGTGTGTGCGTGCTTCTTTCTGTCCCTCGTCTCCTTCTCTTTTTTTCTTTTTCTCTCTTACGTACCCACAAATTTTGATTGGCCATATAAGAAATGATTTGTTCTGGCAATCCGTTTTGACGACCGGCGAAAACGGGCACTCGGACAAATATCTCGAAATATCTCGTCGTTGACTCTTCGTTAACTCTTTATGGCCGAAAAGAAGTTTGGAAAAAACGAACAGTCATTAAATATCTTGTCTTTGTTCAGATCGTACAGTCATATAATACGGCAGTCATATAATAGACACAGTCATAAAATTGTTCATTATTCCGAATGTATTCGGAGAGAAATCTGTCTCTTCCGAATTTATAACGGGTTAATAATCATGATTTCCGTTGATTCTTTCGGAAGGATTTATTCACCGATTATACTAGAATATGCTCGACAAAGACAAATATGACATCCGTAGATCGACCTGTGCGCTCTCATCCGAAATGAAATAATTGGGAGTTATGGTGCATATGTTACTTGCACTCGCGCGATATTTCATCCTTTAGTCGAGGAGATCTCCGACTCGCCGATATCCGCCGATATCCGTCGATATCCGCCGATAGGATTTAATTTAATAAATGCGACTTCCATTCGCTATTGGATTCTGCATTCGGAATACTTGACGTAAATCAAAAGTCTAGTCGTAGGAAAAATTTGACTTCTTGAAAATTCGTTACGTAACACAAATGCATAAATGAAAGTTCTATTATACCTTCGATGATAAGATGTGTGAATAAATAGTAAATTATTAAAAGTTTTCATCTTCGATATTTGATTAAACTGATTAATTATAGTTCCGCGTCATTGAGAATGCATATACATTACATGAAAATATTATCGATTCTGCAATCTATTACGCGTTCACCGTCGTTACTAGTCAAGAATTTGCTACCCCGGTTGAATGCGGCTAATTGGCAAGTAAATATATCCCTATATTCTTGCAAGACAGTTACCAGGAAGCGCTACTCGAGTACTTCTGTTTTTATTGGTCCATATTGTATAGGCTAACGGAGAATATATGCGCTACTATCGTATTTCGCGGGAACCGATTAATTCCGCATATCGATCGATAATTTACGGCAGTTTACATTACTGCCGTGTCCTCCTCGGCGAAGAAATTTCTATCGTGATAGAATATACGCTGCAAATCTATTGCGTCATCTTTAATTGTCGCGAGTACTACGCTAGTAAGTCAAAAGTAAAACCCGAAATATAATAGAAATGTAAGAATAGTAATCTCTAATTAGACCTTGAAATTGAAATTGAAATTCGACCGACGGCAATAAATGAAAGAATAAAAATAACTATATTTTTGTTTAAAGCGATCTTCTTAGTGCTTAATAATACTAAATGCAAACACCTATCGTGTTTCGGGATTGAAACTTTCATTCGTATAAAGCACCAATCGGTTTTTAATAAATCGTTATGATTACGTAAAATGTGACAAATTCGCGGAGCGCACGACGGGAGTCGCGAGTGTTTGAATTATTAATTGGGCCGGAACTCGTTGCGAGCGCGACCCGGCTCGACATAAATTACCAGTTCGCTAATCGCGCGACGCACACCCGCACTGCCGATGTAATCGATCGTGACGATTGCACAGATGCCGATCTGCTGGTAGAAGGAGTATGCATCGTGGCTGCGCATGAAGAAAAAAACCACCGAGCGAGAAGCCCGTTTTACCTCTCTGCGTTATACCGCCGCGGTTGCACGCGGACTCGCGACAAGGCGAATTCAATTAGCATAAAATACGTTCTTTCGTCGTGGTCGCGAAAGCATGCCGATCCTGGGTCGGTCCATGG